TGACCTATTAAAAGCTGTGATGGCTGTCAAACTCTTGATGAGTGCATTTCAACTCTATTTTCTACCCCCAACTCTTTCGGACACTGCTGTCCCTGTCTAATACTTGAAGTGGAGCAGATGGAACTTTGGGTCTTCAGGGTCCCTGCAGACACTAATGTTTTATAAAAATACTTCTTTTCTCCAAATATTCCCTGTATCCAGCCAACATCAATTTATCCTAAAATCTGTCCAGAACAGTCTAGAACAATACTACCAAAATCTGCATTTTCATTCATGGTCTCAGCAGTTTGTTCCATAGTTACTGAGCTCATGACATATGCCATACACACACACTTCCTGGCACAGGGATTGTCTGGTGTCAATGGAGACAGGCCAATTCTCCATGGAGCTGTTGGTGCCTAGGGAAGTCAGTCTGTGATACATGAAATGCATTTACCCTGTACCTACAATGCTTTACAGAATGTCACACTTGCATCCTGTGGATCTGATAGGAGATGGGCAGTGAGACTTCTGGGAGGGAAGGACTGGCACCCCAATGAGGTTTTATAATCAGTTTCTTAAAGGAGAGGAAGTTTCTAGAAGCCATCCATTTCACCACAAAATTAAGGTTGGTTTTTTTTATGGTAGATTTTTCTCTAGTGTGAAGAAATATGTTTCATTACTGTGGTAGATAATCTGATTATAGACTTGACAGGGTCTAGAATCACCAATGAAGCCACCTCTGGGCACGTTTGTGAGAGCTTTTCTACATTAGGTCAATTGTGGTTGGAAGACTCACCCTAAATTCCATGGGCTAGACCTCTTCGATGGAATAAAAAAGAGAAAGCAAGCCGAGTACACGGGTTCCTTTCTCTCTGCTTCTGGCTGTGGACACAGTATGACCATTAGCCTTACGCTTCTGCCACCATGACCTCACGGTGGTGGACTGTCCTCCTTCCAACTGCAACAAAAACCAGTCCTTCTATTAAGCTGCTCCCTGTCGGGGACATTGTCATAGCAACACTAACATTCAAACTGAGGAGTCAAGACTAGTCTACAGCACAGACCTGTTCACCCTGTAGACTTCAGCAGAGGCTGTCAAACTACAGTCCTCAAGCTAAGTCTTCCAATTCATATATTTTTTAATACAATGTTTTATTGCAACAGAGTCACATCAACTCATTCTACTGCTGCCTGAGGCTGCTTCAACCATAACAGAAGAATGGGGTGCTGCAAGCAATGTGTCAGAAAGACTACATGGACTACATGCTGGTCCTTTCCAGGGACATTGCTGAGCCGTGCTCCTCTGTAGTGAATTGCTATCAAAGTGCTCTGTCAGTCACATGGGCACAGGATAAGCCCATGACTCCTTCCCTAGATCCCAGCAGACACAACATAAAAACCTTCATGGTCCACTCATAAATTTGCAGCAAGTATCACTTTAACACTATGGAGTCAAAACTGTTCTAGGAATTTATACAGTCTTGGGCAAATCACTCAACAATGAATGACAGGCGGGGGTACAGGAAGCACAGAGTGTCTACTATTCATCCTTTTATACCAGGACTCTCCAAACACGTTTGCTCACTGACCTCTAAAATGATTGTGGAACCATTAGTACTCATTTACACATTATACATCTAAAACTGCACACATTTAAATAGAAATCATAGATATAATTTCTAAGGTTATACAATAGGACTTTCTGTGATAAAAATGCTTATGGCTCTGTTCTACCTGCAGTCTTGGAGTCAGGATCTCACAAAAACTGATATTAGTTTTACCTACACAGTGCGTACTTTGGGGTTCTACCATGAAATTCCCTTCAGAATGAACACATTTGGTCCCTGAATGCCTGGGCCAAGGGTGAGATCTGAGTTTCTGCATGGGAACTGCTTTCAAATGCAGGAAACACCTAGCCAAGGTTGAGGAGGGACTGTGCTGCTGTGGGAATCAATAGACCTGTCCCTCCCGACCTCCAGCAGCCCTTAGGGCCCATGGCTCCCCTGAGTGATATGTAGATGTAGCTTTTCTCTCAGCCCTGGTGAGAGTCCTCAGTGCCCACAGTGTTGTTCCCAAAACTTGTCCCAACAAACACAAACATTGAAGCCCATCTTAGGGATCCTGACTTGAGACATCTGCTGTCAAAGGCACATGACTAAGCTTTCCTTTAACATTAGAAAAGTGTTGTTATTTTTCCTCCAACCTTATATTTCCATCCCACTTGGTGAACAGAATTTTATGCTACTGTGTATAACTTTCTATTTTGTTTTTGTTTTTTTATTGCTCACCCTGACATATTTTCTGCCATTAAACCAATATACATGTTAAAATTTAATTTAAAAAAATTCTCTATGTCCACAATGCTCTTTGTATTAAATTTCTTCTAGATTGAGTACCATTGAGATTATTATAAGTTCACATTTGATCAAGACCACATACATCTATCATAAATTTTAATAAACATCATACATAAAAACTTAAAAGATGTATCTCTGAAAATGGTGACTTCTATTTTTAATTAGTTTATGTGACTGTGAACAAATATTATTTACTGCTAGAATGGGAGTATTTGGCATCAGATTTATTCCACCTTGTGTTTTATATTTATAAATGTAAAAACATAATATTTATGCATATCACATAATAAGTGGGGGGGAATCAAGGAGTTGTTACATTGTGCAGCAATGCTCTTCATAGAAGCTCTTTGTGATTAATTCAAGAAAATTCACAGGACAATAAGATATTAAAAAATAATATTTTAGTAGATTATCAGCTGAAAGTTCAGTCTGGTCCTCATTTAGTTCTATGGGAAGCAAATAGCTGGAATCCACTTCCGGGAGGATTTGTTTATAGTGGTATTGTGTTCCCCAAAATATTGTGCATGCTAAAAGACTTATCTGGGGTCAGAGAAGAGAACAGCCACAATATTAAACATAGAGGATAGACAGTGCTTGCACACGCCTTTAATCCTAGCATTCCAGAGGCAGAAATCCCTCTGGATGTCTGTGAGTTCAAGGCCACGTTGGAATCAGCCAGGCATGGTGACTCACGCCTTTAATCCCAGAAAGTGAGCCTTTAATCCCAGGGAGTGATAGCAGAAAGCAGAAAGGTATATAAGGCTTGAGGAGCAGAAACTAGAAGCATTTGGCTGGTTAAGCTTTTAGGCTTCTAGCAGCAGTTCAGCTGAGATTCATTCTGGATAAGGACTCGGAGGCTTCCAGTCTGAGGAAACTGGACCAGCTGAGGAACTGGCAAGGTGAGGTAGCTGTGGCTTGTTCTGCTTCTCTGGTCTTCCAGCATTCACCCCAATACCTGGCTCCAGGTTTGATTTTATTAATAAGACTCTTTAAGATTCATGCTACATTTGTTAATCAAGCATTAAAGCCAGTTCCTTTTCAGCCCCTACATCACATTTTTACCTCTTCCTTTAAATTGGGTCATTCGATGGCCACCCAACCATAGTAAAATAGAAAGTGTTTGAAGAGTCAGTCTGTGTGGTCAAGCAAGTGTAGAGGATGGACAACATGGAAGACCTTGACTACAATCTGGCCCTGAGGTCCATTTTAAGAAAACATACCTCTGGAGGTCATACACCTCAGTTTACCCTTGACAGTATCCATAAAAGCATCCATCTCCCCTTGTGGGTATACTCACAGCAGCTTGAAGGTCTCTATGTTACAACAGTACCCAGACTTCTGATAACCTAGGAGATTTCTCCCATAATGTGTGAGTCCTTACTATGCCTTTAATTGTAAGTATGCACTAAATAAAGACCAGGAGACATCTGCAAAGCAGATAACCTGAGAGCAGCTTGTCTCAGAATCTTCTATATACCTCCCATTCCCTTATAAAATGGGTATACAGCCACATTCTAAATTAGTATAAGGATCACACAGATGGTTAAAGTCTGAGCAATCTGGAGGGAATTATCAAAGTCATGTGATTATCAACTACCCCACACTTTCATCTCTTAAGATGAATCTCCAGCTGTTATGGAGGGCATAGTTTTCCTGTCATTGGATGTATAGGAAGAAAGAAAATTGAACAAAAGAAAAAACAAAGGGAAGATTAGTTAGAGTAGTTTTTGAAGGTTAGTTTGGAAGTGATTCTTACAGAGTCCCAGCTTTATTTATCCCCATTCTCTTGCACCTCTTCTGTAAACCATGGTGACAAGGAATTTCTTCTTTTTTATGTCAAAATTGAGTGTAGAGAAGGATTGGAGGAAATATTACCCAAGGTCATAAGCAGCGTCTCTTGGGCTGTCCTTGAGCCTGTTCAAATATTTCACCCACTAAATAAATTCCTTGGAGATTTTTCTCTTCTTTGTTCAAACAATCATTTTCCAAGGGCAAGAACTGTGGCAAATTATTGATCATAAGGAGGGTAGAGAACCCACCTATGCTGTAAATTTACCTCGTGGAAGTTTATAAAGTGATGGGAAAGGCTTTCCTCACAATTCAGTCACAAAACCTAACTCCTCCTAAGTTTCCTTGGCATCTGAATCAAGTCAACCTCTTTGTTCTCTGCTGAACACTGGATGGAAACACGATTCTATCTTACTATTAGAAGATGTGTTAGTAAAATGTTTCCTCCTTCACCAGAAACACATGGAGATTCGAATTTGTACACTAGTCTAGAATCTTCCTAGATATAATGTATAGTGCTTTCAAAGCTGGTCTAAGGTAGAAGTTAGATGACCTGAGATTGACTGTGGATTCAGACAGGCACTTCACACTGAACTTCCATTTACACTTGTCGATAAAGTGATGGCAATAGTTCTCCTCTCTGGCGTTATCCCAGCAATACAGAACATGCAGGTGAATGTGGGCAGTCTACAGACACACTTAAAAGTAGAGCCCACTAAGGCTAGGGCTCTTTTGTCTGCACATATCATTTGAGTTTTGCAAGAAAATAACACAAAGCATCTTAAAAGTCTAATCTTCTTTCCCAAGAAAACTCTCCTATCATGCCTGTAAATATATTATTTATTTTTTAATGATGAAGAAACTATAGAAAAATCAGTTTCACTAAACATAATTTTATTGATGTAATATTTATAAAGATAAAATTCACTCAATCAAAACATCACAACACTGAATTTCACAGTTAAATCCACATGCAGATTGTAGAATTGTGCTACAGACTGGGCCGATGGAAGGTGTTAAATATAAAAATAATCCAAGGCAATTTCCATTTAGCACATTGTACAAAACTCATTTTTCAATGTGATTAACGAGTTTGTAAAATCTTTCTCATCAGTGCTTGTGCTCAAAGTGCTCTGTAACATGGAGAATAATGCTGGGGTGAAATCCTATATCAGTCACAGTAATGCTGTGGATCTGGATGTGGAGGAGATGAGATCCAGCCATGAAACAGAGCACAGGGCAGGGAACCTGCTGTCAGATTCAGTTGACTGAGAGGCAAGTCCCAAATACACTCCATACAACTATACTGAAATGAGCTGAAGGGTGGATCCATCACTTTTATGATGATTACCATCTCCTTTAGAATGACCAGACAGGAGGGCATGCTGTATGCTTTGTCACAAAAGACAAAGAGACCAAGATGAACTTGACAGTGTTCCTGAAATCTGTTTTTTTAACCACAATGAGGACTCAGTGTAACTAGTGATCCATCTGAGCAGTTTTCAGGCTTTGGTACACTTTAGAATCGCCTCCAAGGTTTGGTAAAGCAGCAGTTTCTGCCCCTCCCCCCCACGCCCCTGCCCCAACACCCTCTGCAGTTTCTAATTATGAGAAGAGGGCAGGTGGCAAGCTGTAGGTGATAATGTCCGTGATAAAATGATCCGTCCACTCTCTGTTTCAATATGTCTACTCTGGTACATCATTGATTATCAAAAAGCTCCTGAACAGTCATCAAAATGAAAACCATCTGTAACAACAGGACACCTTGACAGTAGCAACACAGAGCAGATGGCAGACAGCATGACTGTCTGGTGACTGGGGAAAAAGGTCCTCAACTTTGGCTACATACTAGAATCAAGAAAAAATTTAAATATTTATGCATAGGTTCATTTAAGACCAAGTATATCTGAAGCTTTGTGATGGGGAAAGAATTCAGTCATGAAAGTGCCCCATGAAAGGTTGATTCTCCTCCTGCTGGGGAATTGCTGCCTTGGAAAAACTCTCATCTCCTCACTTGTAGAAAGACTACCAATCCTGTGACCTTTGGGGCATAGTGTGTGGATGTCTTCAAGAAAACTTAGACCCTCACAATATGCTGATATCCAAGTAGGAAATTGTATATGGGCACCATCTGAAGAGTGATCATGATAGTTGACATATTGTGGGGTCACTCAGAACAGAAGCCTGGAAGGAGCACAGGCTGCAGATCTTTAGGATGACATCAGGTACAGGGTATGTATGATGGACCATGTCTTCCCAGAGTGTGTGTGATGGACCATGTCTTCCCAGAGTGCCTGTGATGGACCATGTCTTCCAAGAGTGTGTGTGATGGACCATGTCTTCCCAGAGTGTGTGTGATGGACCATGTCTTCCCAGAGTATGTGTGGTGGACCACATCTTCCTAGAGTGCCTGTGATGGACCATGTCTTCCCGGAGTGTGTGTGATGGACCATGTCTTCCCAGAGTGCCTGTGATGGACCATGTCTTCCAAGAGTGTGTGTGGTGGACCACATCTTCCTAGAGTGCCTGTGATGGACCATGTCTTCCCAGAGTGCCTGTGATGGACCAGGGTATGTGTGATGGACCAAGTTTTCCCATTACAATCACACTTCTCAGAGTTACCTAGACTAAGTACTTTTTTGTTTTTTGCATTTGAGAAATCTGATAAATAATGCTCCCAATGACAAAATGCTGGAAGTCACACTTTGCTAGTCTACCAGAGAAAATGGAACACAAAGGCATACAAACAAAGGGCACTTTCAGGAAGGTTCCCATTTTACACACACACACACACACACACACACACACACACACACACACACACACACACACACACCAGGTGTAAATAGGAATAATTAGTGTTTCCAAGAGAAAGTGAATTTCCACACCATGGAATCCTTTTCCTGGAAGGACTTGGAAAGGCGTGGAGCAATCTTCAGTTTTAAGTGGACAAGGAAGAGCCCGAGCAGCTCATTCCAAAGACCAGGTGATTAAGACACAATTCCATGCATGAAATTGGGACTAATATTTAACTGCAAATAAAAAGTGATTTAAACAAATTCAAGTCATCAGGGATCACCTTCTGGTAATCTTTGGTAAAAGCCAAATATTTAAAAATCATCACTTTGATTTAAACAGAGCTGTGTAGAATGTTCAATACCCCCCATTCTCTGTTTGGGACCACAGTTCCCGTGGGAGCAAATCTCCCCGAGCTCGTTCACCATGGTTACTAACCTACTGACCAGCACCTACAGATCAAGACCAAAGAAGGCCAACAGCAAGCTAAAAGAAAATCTGAAGTACTGGTGAGGTGCCTGTGTCAGTCTTTTCCCATAATACGCTGGGGAAAAAGATAGCACTGTGGGTAAAATCATTCAGAACAATAGAAATTAGGCCCTAATGACCTGATGGTGTCTTGGAAATGAAAAATATGTAAAATAAATATATTTTGATGTTTACTTCCACTATTCAAAAGTTAGGTATTTAAGCATTATATTACATATATGTACTCCATTGTGATCAAGGGAACTTTCTCTTTGCAATTTCTCTGAGGTTCTAGAAAAATCCAGCTTCCTGGGAAGTGCTGCCTCTAGAAACTGCTAAGCTCTGTCTCTCCTTGAGGCGCTGGTCCTCTGAACTCCTCAGCTGCTCCTGACTGGTGTCCCTCATCCTGCCTCCTAGTCCCTGTCTCCTCCATAGCCATGCCTGCATGCTGAGAGGCCTTCACTTCCCCGGGCTCTGAGCCCTGCACTTCAGGAGGCTTCTGTTCCTGTGTGACCTCCCCAGCCTCTGCTGATGTCACTCCCTCTACCACGGCCACCTTTTCTGTCCTGGATGTCATGTCCTCAGCTGTCACACTGTCTTCAGCTGCTGTTTCTCCTGGAGCCTCGCCTGCTCTGTTCCAAGTTTCCTTCTGGACATCTGCGAAGGAGGAGGTCACACTGTCCCCAGAAGTGGACATTGACTCTGCCAACACCTCCCTGTGCTCTGCAACTGTTTCTTCAACTCCTCTTCCTTGTGGATCCTCCTCATCTTTGACTGTGCCTCCTCCCGTGGCCCAGTCCTGCCCTGCCAGGCTGTCAGTCACTGTCCCTGGAGGGTACTTTCTATCCTCACCCCCCTCTTCCTGTGTCTTCTCACCCTCAGCCTCTCCACTGAACACCTCTGTTACAGCGAGCTTTTCCTCGGGAAGATTTCCACACGTCATCACGATGTTCCTTCTTTGCATTTGCAAAGGCCCTTCTTCATCCAGTCTCTCTGGTCCCTCGAGGCTGTCTAGCTCCTTGGCAGTCCACTCTCGACCTCTGGCTGTGAAAACACTCTCGGGCACCCGAGCTTTGCCTGCTGGCTCAGGTCCAGGGGCGCCGGGCAACCTCCCCTGCTGCAATGGAGCCTCACTCTCCTGGGCTGGCAGTTCTTCTCCTCCTTCTTTGCGCTCTGTGGCTGTGGCTTCGTTATCTTCCAGTAACTTCTCAAATTGAAGTTTTGCTTCAGACAAGGCGATGGTTCTTTCTTTGGGTGAATCTTCTAGAAGCCTTGTGTCCTCCCTCAACTCGGTTGCCCCTGTGGGATTCGTATCCTCAGGATCAGCCTCCATCTTGTTGGGGGATGCATGGGCGTCTTCCACAGACCTCACTCCCTCCACTGGGCCCTCCTCTTCCCCTTTAGCTTTCTGCTCCTCCAACTTCTCTTCTGTCTTCAACACCTTGACCCCTGTCTCCTCTCCTCTTTCAGATCCAGTTTCTCTCGGAGGTGTTGGGGGCCTCTCAACTTTCCTCCTGTCTCCAGCTGCAGTGAACTCCCCAGGGAGCACTACTGTGGGATCCTGTTCCAGGACAGATTCTGTGTCCGCCACGACTCTCTCCCTTGGTGTGTCTGCCCTACAGAGTTTCTCAGGGTTGCCCTGGACAACCTCTCCGGGGCTTGCCCCTGCTTCTCCTGCTGAGGAACTCGAGGGTGCTTGTGCTTCTAGAACCTCCTTCCTCTCAGGAGCTGCTTTCTCCCCTCCAAGGATTGCCTCTTCAAAACCATCCTCTCTCTCTGGTGCCGTGTCCTCCACGGGCCCCATGTCCTCTAGCTCTGTGGGAGCTCCCTCTTTGCTTTGGTTCCCATCTGGTCCTGGGGAGCCGGCCTGGCTCTCTGCCTCCTCAGGAGTCCCTGATTCTTTCAGAACTGCTGATTCCCCAGGAGTCTCTGAGCTGAACTCTGAGCTCTCTGTGAGCACTGCCCTCTCCAGTACTGGCTCCCTTCCAGAAAAGGCCCTTCCTTTCTCCATCACTGTCTGCAGCAAGCGCTGCCTATCGGGGTCCACCGTCCTCTGACTCTCCAGTGCTTGCTCCACTGCTATTTTTCCTGTGAGGTTTAACTGCTCCTCTCCAGACCTGCCACGTCCTTCTGTGCCTGTCTCTGCCTCACTAGCTGTGCTCAGGGGGCGCTCCCCTTTCTCTGCAGACTGCTCTGATAATGCTGGCTGCTCTTCTGTGGGGCTCTTCTTCCCTAAGGGGACCTCTGCAACCCCTGCTTTCTCCCTCAGCCCCATGTCCATGTCAGCATCCTGGGGATCATCTTCCTCCGCTCCTCCTTTCTCCCTCAGTCCTGCATTGGTGTCAGCATCCTCAGGCTGGGAACATTCATCTTCCTCCATGGCTGTTTCCTTCTCCGGCGTGCACACCTCTTGTGCAGCTTGCTCGGGCTGCCCATTTGAGCTGATGGCTGCTCTTTCCTCCACCACTGAATTTCCATTTGGCCCCATAAAAATAAAATGAGAAACAAGGTGACTTTGATCAAAGTGTGTAAAGCAGAAAATACAATATGGAATCTTATGAGATATTTATGAGACTCCATATGTCATCCAGGGGACACTGAACTTATATGCCAAACCTTTCTTCAGTTGATACAATGTTGTTAACTAGCAAGGACCATGTTTGGAAAATGCCCTTCTTTCATTATGAAAAGAAATGCTTTCAAATTTAATGGTCATGCTAACATAAAAGTTGAATGTTGGGCATGTTGAAATGAGTAAACACAACACTCCTCAATGCTCTTATATTTTAAAATCAATAAATTATCTGACATGTGACATACATGCACACACTAGTTTCATTTCAAATACTAAGATGTGAAAAAATTTTACAACAGAAAAATACTTATTTCTCTTAAAACGCATTGTTCCCTACAACATCAAGAGTGTGTCTACTTCGGTGGCCTTTTAGTCACATGGCCTGGCTCTAGAGGTGCCAATCATGTCATATACCATTCCCAAAGCATGAAAGTTACTCTGATTAGATTCGGTCATCAAAAATATTTATCGCTGAGGTATGGTATTCACTAAAGACAGCAATTTGTATTCCATGTCAGCTTGCATGCCATCTATGCTCAGAAACTGATTGCCTTTGGCAAAACAGGATCACAGAGCGAGACAGGACCTTCTGGTGTGGGATAGTGTCCAGCATAAACAACACTCCTACGACACTGCTGAAGTATTTCACAAGTTCTGATACAAGACTCTGGAAAATCTGGGTTGTCAGGTCTGCTATGTCTTTGAAAGGCCACTGAAGTTCTCAGTATTTACCAAGACCTGCATCCTGAATGATTCATGCAGAATATGTGAAAGCATGTGACAACAAATACCCAAAAATTCTTTAGATTTCCCAGCTGAAGGCTTCTACTCAGAGTGGTAGGAACTTCAGAAATAGTATCTCAATAGTGTTTATTACTTTAATGTTTTATTAAATATTTTTATTTTATTTATGATTGTGTTTCTGTCTGGTGCAGGCATTTCACAACAGCACCCAAGGAGGTCACAGGAAAACTCTACAGAATCAGTTCTCCCTTCTACCCTCACATGGGTTCCAGGGGTGGAATCCGGTCACAAGATGCTGCATAGGAAGTGTCTTTACCCACTGAGGCATCTCTCCAGCCCAAGTACTCTAATATTTTTCATTTATAAAAGTCAGGGTTAGGAATATAGCTTAGTCAGTGAGGCATGCTGTGTCCTACAAGGACTTGAGTTCCATCTCCAGACTCCATGATAAGAAAAAAAAAAATCTCTGGTGTGGTAGTTCATGCCTGTAAACTAGTGCTAGGAATCATGGGATAGGTGAATCCCTGGGAGTTGATGGTCAGTCAACCTTGCTTACTGGGTGAGCTCCAGGTTCAGTAAGAGATCCTGTCTCAAAATAAAACAAACAACAACAAATAAAACAGGGAGAGAAATGCATTATGAATGACAAGCAAGGATGACCTTTGCCCTACATATGCACAGGTGCACTCACGCACACATATAGGCACCCACACTCACCAACATGGACATTATGGTGATTTGAATGAGAATGAATCCCAAAAGCCCAGATATTTGAATACTTGGTCATATGGTTTGACTACTTATTGGAATTGCTTGGGAAAGATTAGAAGGTGTAGCCTTGTTAAAGAGGTGTGTCACTGGAGGACAGGATTGGAGATTTCAAAAGACTCACACTATTCTCAGTGTTCACTCTCTCTGCCTCTTACTTTCGGATCAAGATGTGAGGTCTCAGCTCTTCTTGCCACCCTGCCTGTGCTCTGCCATCATGGACTCTAACCATCTAAAATAACAGCCTTAGTAAATGCTTTCTTTTATAAGTTACCTTGGTCAGGTTGTCTCTTGCACAGCAATTGAAAATTATCTAAGTACCAGGGAGTAGGTTATTGCTGTGACAATGCTGGTTTTGGGAGAAATGCGCAAGACGTTGGGATTTTGGACTAGGAAAGTGGTTGGATGCTGTAAATGGAACTCAATAGGCCAGCTCAATGGAAGACATTGGTGCCAAGCACTATGTGGGCCAGGTTGGAACAATATTAGCAGCTGAGCTAGAGACCACTCTTGTGATATATTAGCAAAAACTGCAGCTACATTTTGCCCATGCCCTAAAAATTTGGCTGAGGCAAAATTGAAAGACAATGGACTAGTGTAATTGGCAAAGAAGATTTCAAAACGGCCTGATACTGACTCTGTCACGTGGTTATTACTGGTCACTCTTACACAGAGCTGCAGTTAAAAGGAACAAGCAGGACAAAAAGAAATATGAAATGTTCAGTTTGGGAGGAAGAAGGGTAAGGAAGTGTTGTAGCCAAGGCTTGTGCTGAAACAGACAAGAAGAGTCCTGATGTAAACTGAAATAAAGGGAGGGGTACACCAGGGTAAGACCTGCCCAAATAAACCTTTCATTTTTAAAAAAGAAATACCTGAGGAATGTTTATGCTCCCACTAAGCAACCACAAAGAAAAGCTTATGTAAATGGAATTCAAGGAAGAAGCCAGGCTCCATCCCAAGCAGGGCCTGAACTTGGCACTGTCGTCCACCTGGTTCTAGCTTTAGAGTCATAAAGGGTACAGAGTCAAGAGGTTGGAGAATCTCCATCTGCAGTTAAGGAGAGCTGCTGAGGTCAAGCATGTGGCAGGGGAGACCACTGAAGGAAGCTGTGAAAGTGAAGCCTGGATGATGCTGGTGATACCATGGCCATGGGATGTCTGCCAAGGCGAGCTACAGATAGGGAGTGGAACTGCCCAAAAGAGAGAAGTGTGTCGCGGTCAGCAAAGCAGGAGGGCTGAGCTGTCTAAACCTTTGACGTGAGACGGGAAACTGTAGGATTTGGAGTTTGGGTCTTGATTTTGTTATTTCCTCACTGTGCCCCATTCCTTCATTTTGCAATGATAATCCATATTCTGTGCCATTGTATATTTGAAGTATTGATTTGGGGTTTTGCTTTTAATGGGGGTTACAATTAAGAGATTACCTTGAGTCTCTGAAGAGACTTGGACTTTGGACTTTAAACATTGTGGAGACTTTAAAAGACTATGGGTACTTTAAAATTTGGAATGAATGTATTTTGCTTTATGATATGGACTAGGAAGTGGAGTTTGTTAGTTTGAATGAGAACGCCCCCCATAGGCTCATATAAACTTGGTCTCTAGTTGGAGGGGCTGTTTCGGAAGGATTAAAAAATGTTGCCTTGTTGGAGGAGGTGTGCCACTAGTGATGTGCTTGGAGGCGTCAAAAGACTTACACTGTTCTCAGTCTCTCTCTCTCTCTCTCTCTCTCTCTCTCTCTCTCTCTCTCTCTCTCTCTCTCTCTGCTTCCTCCTTCAGGATCAAGATGCAACCATTCAGCTGTTCCTGCTGTCCTGTTTGCTGAAGCACCATGGGCTCTACCCTCTGAAACCATAAGCCCAGTTAAACAATTTTCTTTTATAAGTTGCCTTGGTGTAATGTCTGTTCTTGGTTGTCAGTTTCACTATATCTGTTATTAACTAAAAGCCAAATGACTAGACACATCTGTGAGGGCTTTTTTTTTCCCTTAATTAAATCGTTTGAAGTGGGAGACCCACTTCTAATCTGGACCATGGAGGTGGGAAGTTAAGCCTCTAATCTAGATCTTTTGAGGTGAGAAAATCCACCTTTAATCTGGCCACATCTTCCACTGGCAGCCTATATCAAGGACATGGAATAAAGAATCTCTCTCTCTCTCTCTCTCTCTCTCTCTCTCTCTCTCTCTCTCTCTCTCTCTCTCCTTGTTTGTTCTCACCTTTGCTAGCAAGTTCATTCCTTCAGTGGCATTAGAGCCTACTTCTTTGAGATTCTGGCATATACTTAAGAACAGCTGAGACTTGTAGACTAAACAACTACTGGATTCTTGGACATTCTGTTCATAGGCAGCCAGTGTTGGATTAGCTAGACCACAGCCTGTAAATCATTCTAATAAATCCCTTTTCTATATATAGAGAGAAATACTTTCTATAAATTTTGTTACTTAGAGAACCCTGACTAATACTTGGCCATGGTGTTTTGTCACAGCAATATAAAAGTAACTAAGACAGACTTGCATATACATACACAAAAAAAGGATACATTTGTAGACTCTATGAATTGTAATAAATTATTCTACCAGTTTATCATGTAAAGTTATGCAATAAGCAAATAAATCTTCCTCTTTTCCTTTGCTCACTTGCATTCTCAAAATATTTTGGCATTTATTTATTGTATTGAGGGGCGTGGCCATTTGCCTATCACAGTGAACACACGGAGGTCAGAGGACAACTTTCCATAGTCAGTCCTCTCCCTCTGCTGCGTGGATTCCAGGGATGGAACTCAGTTCACCAGGTTTGGCAGTGTGTGCCTTTACCCTCTGGACAGAGGCGTGCATGCACTTCTGGCTAACTATTTTACCTATTGCTGCAAGTGACAATCTAAACAAAACCCAAACTCTGGTCTTAGCTTTTCCCTTCCCCTCTGTATACTCTACAATGTTAGGGCTCTACTACGTCTTCCAACATGTCCTTTGCTGTCTGTCTCAGTCCCTTGCCAAGTAGTGCCACAGACTATTTGGACAATAGGTGATAAGAGCTGGCATGACATTCCCCTTAAAACATGTATTTAGAAGATGAGTTCTGTTGTCTTCAATCAAAAAGTAAAATTTTGATAATCCAGGTCTACCAGTGAGGCTAAGGTTGACTTTTATAGGTCTTTTTATGGGCATCAATTAGCAATTTCCAAAATTGTACTTAAGAGCTTTGGGAGGGATATGTAGAGCCAAACTATCTGCTCAGATGACATGTAGCAAATTCACCTGAAAAAAAGATGTAGCCCATTTCTACTTCACAATAACTGACTTAGAACACAGCTCTGTTGGGACAATGAGAAACAGTGCTGGATGTCAAGTTCCCTCTTCTTATCTGATGCTGTTCAGACTCCTGCACGAAAATGTTATTAAGAAGTCAGTTGTGGAAAACACTTAAATAAAGACATCTGTTTTTCTAACCTGGCCTCTAAATTTATGGATTAATTAAAGAGCATTCACAAAAACAGGGGAATAAAATTGCCTAGTCATCATGTAATAATATACTGTTCAAATTCTAGGAGAAAATGTGCTAATGACACCCAGATGAGCTGTTATATGAACACAGCACAGAGAAGTCAAACAGAACATTCCCAAAACAGGGAGAACGGGCAATTGAAGCCTTTCTCAGGAATAGCAGTATGTAAAAGGTGTATTTTTTATGGCAACCTCATGAGCTTTGGGGAAGTGTTTTACTAAAGCAAGTGTGCAGTATTCATGAACAAGGGCACCACATCCCTTGCAATAAGCATGTGCCTGGGGGTTTAGACAGGCCTGGTGCACATGGACCTCTTATGTTTACTAGTTATGTGAACTTAGGAAATGGTATACCCCTCTAAGCTTTCATTTTTTTATCCATCACGTGGTAGCAGCCATGTTTGACTGGCAGAATTCTTGTAGCCATCGATGATGTGGCTGTGTGAATGGTCAGTACTGCATGTGCTGTAAGTGCCCCCTGACTTTCTGCTCTTGTTCCACTGCTTACAATGAACTAGACTTTCTTACTGGAGTCTGACCTCAAGAACATCTATGGCTATATTGTGTGTTTGGGAGGCTCACCAGCATCTCTCTAAAGAAAAGTCTACTGCAAAAGTTAAGCATTTCTCTCCTGTGACTCTACTCACTGCTTCTCCAAATGTCATCTGACCCTCTTCATGCTGCCCAAAGAAGAAAGGAGTCTCTCCTGTGCCGTCTACAGCATCCATGAAGCCATCTGATAGAGCTTGATAACTCTTACTTAACACTGGAGATGGGGTAAAGTGATGAGCAAAATGAGTACTCACACACACTCACACACTCACACACACATTCACATCAAAACAGTCTTAAAACAGCGTTCATAAGAGGAAGCCCACATCACAGACATGGGACACTGACCAGATGTACGTGAGTCATAATCACTGATTCGATGTTTCGCTGGCAGTACTGAAGATGATTATACATTGGCAAGAGTAAATTCTTTCCTAATTATGAAAAGGGATGAGTTTACATGAGTCCTTGTAAAACATGGTGTGCTGGAGCTCTTAATGTCTCTTACTTGGTCAGCAAAGGTAAATTCACCTGCTTGGTCAGTTAACTTGGAGTAATATGACCAATCTGAAAATTAGCACCAGGCTTTTGTTATTGTTGTTGTTGTTTCATTTGTATGTTTTGTTTTGTTTTTTTATCTTAAACATCAATGTTTTTATTATTTTTTTTCTTTTGGTTTTTCAAGACAGGGTTTCTCTGTGTAGCTTTGGAGACTGTCCTGGAACTCACTCTGTTGACCAGGCTGGCTCACAGAGATCCACCTGCCTCTGCCTCCCTAGTGCCAGAATTAAAAGAGATTGCCACCACCACTTGGCCACACCAATGTATTTAAAAAAAAAAACAGCATTTATAGCTAATATTGATTTCAAAGCTCCCCTTCAGGCCTCTGGGTTACTTCCTGCCATCATATCCCATATTCATTACATGAGAATTAAATTTTAAAAAATGGACTAAAGGATCAAACAAGGACTTGAAGATGAAAGACAGAGACAGGGCAGCAGTTGTGGAGGACTTCACCTCAGCTCTTCACCCTTACCTCCGCCCAGGTTGACCTCCAGTTTTCTCGTGGGTGTCAGCCCATCTTCTCCAGTGCTAAGTCCAGCTGCTGTGTGGCAGCGGTAGTGTTCAGGTGACTGGGCTTCACCTGTTATCTGTCCAACTGATTGGAGAGCATATAAAATATCAAAAAGCATAAGACAGGCCACAGGGACATCAGTATTTCACATCATTCAAGTAAGGAGGGGTGAATTTAATTTAAACAAATTCACACTAAAATGTGACTTGCTTCTAAAAATATATAAAGATTAAACAACTTCCAAGCTATGACTTTTGAAAGGAAAGCACAGCACACCACAGTCAATCACAAAGTGAGGAGACTCATGCAAAGAAACATTTCCATTAACGTAAGACAACAGCAGAATCAGCGACAGTTGCCAAGTGCACATGCGATGGACGGGTGACTGGAGAAGCAGCCGAGTAGCCTTTCGCTTTCTAGAAATGTCTTCCTTCTATGACACCAATCATTACTGCTCTTTTACATAACCTACTCATGCTAACTCACCCTGAGTGATTCATCCATTAGTAGATTTAATGACTTGACCTCAGTGACCATATGCACAGAAGCTGTCACAGAATTCCTATCAGTTTGACAATATACATCCCCACACAAATTCCTGTTGTATAATGCTGCCTACTACCAAAGACCTCAGAGGCACAGAGGTCCAGGTTCAAGTCCTATCTTCAATGCTGTTTACTCAGTTTACCTATCTGTCAAAAGAGATAAGGACTCAAATGTATCAAGCGGATTAAATGAAGTAATGCATACAGAGCACTGGAGCTTCCCTGGACCAGCAAGTGCCTGTGTACCTAAGCAATAGCTACTGCTGCTTGGTGGGGGTGATAATGGGCATCTTACATGTTTAATCACTGACGTCCAAGCTGAGGTAAACTGTAAAGTCAATCACATTTGTCTTTGTGTCTGACACCTCCTTCTTCCTCACTGCTGGTCATCTGATGGCCTGTGTCTAACTTCATAACGCTACAACTACACGTTACCCCGTAGTCAACAGAAGGTCCACCAATAACGTGAGACTGAGGTCTGCCTTCAGGAGTGAAGACACAGTAGAGCAGCCTCCTGTCTCCCCCTCTGCTTCCACACCTCTTCCCCATCTTTACCTCTTCTTCCTCACCTTCTGACATTCTGATACAAGCTAATCCAAGGACTATACTTTGAGAAAAACCGCTATAACACCATCTCTAATTATTGGCTAGTTTAAAATAAATTTCTGAGAGGTAACTAGTGGTTTGGGAAGAAATACTGTGATCTCTACAGGTGGATCTCAGTGGGGAAAATGGTAAATTCTGAGACAAACATGGAAACAAAGAGGACCATCATATAGCTCAGATACATTGTTTACTGTTTTGTGTGAACATCATGTTTCTTCATTCATCCATTTACTTACAACACTATAGTTTGAAGATGACATCACCTCATGACAACTCTGTTACAGTTGGATGTGTTACTGAGTCAGTGTAGGACATTTATGAATGGAGGACAGGGAACTCATGTATCATTTTGTCTACTATAACAATGTCATCATAATGTGGTATATTTAAAGTTTAAACAAGCAATGGTTTGGGGATGTGAATAAAACAGTTTGGTTGACTGAGCAATGGCAATCACCAGGATGTTAGGGCGGGGGATGGAGATTGACTCAGCAACATTTCTGCAGTCCCAGCAGACATCTGAGTATGTCCTAAGTGTCAAACGCTGCAAGGAAATGAGGCCTTAACTAAAACAAGCAGAACTCCAACAGATAAATACCACATGTTCTTTCTCTCATATGTGGGATCTAGATGCAAACTCACATATGTGTGTAGACAGGAAAGTGGATGGTGACTTGGGGTAGAAGGAAGGGGCCTCAGGGGATGGGAAAGGCTGAAAATATGGGGTCATGGGAGAGGCATAACATGAGAGGATGACTTTGTGAGGAAGAAAGGGACCAGTAAGAAGAGGGGAATGTAGAGGAAGGGAGGGCTGTGGGTGAACCAGAAAAAAGTATGTGTTATCTATGGGTATGACTATCATAATTAAATCATTGCACTGAATATTAACCAAAAAATGTTTTGAAATGTGGCTTGCAATGATAATAATAGTAAACAGTAGTTAGACAGCACCCACTGGAGAAGCACTAGCCTAAGCAGCCACGCGTTAATCTGACCATGATGACTCACTCCAAATCAATGGCGAAGCAGCCTTAGTGAGTCAGGGCTGTGGCCACCACCTGGCCCATCTGCTGATTCGCCCTGGAGGAAGTGGCTATGGAGCAGATGGAGGTCCCTGGAGTCAGGAGTGGCCAGTCACAGTTCAGCAAGAATGAGATTCTGGCCAAAGTGCTGAGGACGCAGCAGATCTTTGCCCAGAGAAGGACTCACTAGGCCAGTTTCTTCAGATGTCCTTCTGAGGCTGAAAGTTGAAAGCAAGAACTTGGCCAGGTCTACCTGCTACTGTTTTCCACCCGTAGTGAAAGAGGGCTGTGCCTGACCAGACTCCTGTGTCAACCATGTGGCCGGCCACTTCGTTTCTTCTGTCTACCCTTCACCCTGTCCGTTAGCCCTCTGTAAAGGTGAACACGAAAGGCCACAGGAATTGTTAGTTCTCCCAGGATTCTCGACAAATGGATAGTTTCATACAGGGAATTTCTTAGAAAACCACCCCAATGATGTAGGGAACCTCATAATAGTGTTCAAAATACTACAGGAACTCTGTATTCCAATGTTAGTTTTCTATTATTAAAACAAACGCGTTTTCCAGTAACACTTGCCATACTTCCCTAAAGATAAAAATGGTATAAAGCCATCATCTAAAGCTAGAAAACATAGAAAAGAAGAAAACAAGTACCACCCATCGTTCTGGGGCTCTGAGCTGCTAACTGATATTTCAGTGAATCCTGAGAGCTTTGTGCTATGCGTTTACTCTGGAGAGCTTCTCACATCTCACTTTGTCAAGTCAGCAACATATTCTGTTTCTCCACTCAACAGGGAAAGAGGGTCTTTCAGTGCCTGTAGAGCAGAGGTTCTCAACCTTCCTGACACTGTGACCCTTTAATACAGTTCCTCATGTTGTGGTGACCCCCACCCACAAAACAATTTTCATTGCTACTTCATAACTGTAATTTTGCTACTGTTTTGAATCATAATGTAAATATCTGATATATATGATGTCTGATACTCGGATGTAGTGCGTAGCCATTCCAGCTTTGATCTGGAAGTCCAACCCCCAGTGAGGCTTCAGTAACTGTCACGCCTACAAGGCAGGGCCAAGAGAGGACCCTGAAGACCTGAGATCCCGATGGGCCAGCTCTCTTGGTTCCTGGACCCAGGACGCTGGAGGTAGACCTAGCAGAGTTCTCCAGAGAACACCGCCAGACTGCGTTACACCTTTCCCAGACCCTGTTACCTATCCCTTCACTTGTAAGTTACCCCGCTAAATAAACCTCCCTTTTAACGACGTGGAGTGGCCTTAATAATTTCACTAATACTCGATCCCTTTGAAAGGATCATTTAACACCAAAGAGTCACGACCCACAGGTTGAGAATAACTGATATAGAGGCTTCCAGTAAAGATTCAGGCTGAGAATGTAGTTCAGTGATAAAATACATGCCTAGCATGTTCCAGAACCAGAGCTAGATCCCCAGCACCCCCCACACCCCCACACACACACCACATATGCAAAATTTATATGACTAATGTCTAATTTATGTAGCTAAGGAGTTACAACCATTGTTTAATGAATTGTGAATTTCCTGCTACATGGTGACTGGGTTTGTCCTAATGATTTTTTAGAATTTTTTTGTTGTTAAGAACTATTTCCTTGTTAAAAATATCAACTCTGTAAAACATACAAGGCAAAGCTTTCTCCAGTTTCCTTTGCAACAGTGATTACTGATTCATTGCTGTTGCTAATACTCTAAAGAATTTCTAATTACTTGGTACTAGCTCCTATAACTTTTTTGAGTTCCAAATTATCATCTCCATGATTTAGAGGCACACTACATAAAATTGAGAATGTAACCTGGTAAGTTTTCCAGCACCCTTTATTTAATTTTTACTTCCTTAGAGTGATTTCTTACTTATCCCAAATTTTTATTCAGTCAAGACACACTGTATTTTCCATTCTCACACACTCCTGGAAGTAGTGTTATAGTTCTTTTGCATATTTGTTATGTATTACTTAGCAATTTTTCACTATTGCTTGAGTGGAATCATTATATGAGGCTATAGTTTGAAATATATCATCTTTAAAATAGCTTTTCTTGTTCTAATACCATGATCAATAATTAAGGAATGAAATTTTTCTTTGATACAAGAACTGTTTGAGAACTTCCTTTAAGTTTCTTATCCGTTATGAGAGCATATTATACTGTCCAAATGATTACTAACTTTGTATCACCGTTATCATAGAATCCAGACTCCAAAACTCATAATCTGTGCTCCTAGGGAAAGGGCATGCGAGCACTCAGGGAGCCAGCCTTCTAAATCATATTGATGTCTTTTACATCATTATCTACTGGGAAAGAATGGCAGTTTTATTTATATAAAAATGAGTGTTATTTGTGTGTTTTCATTTAAGAGTGTGGGAGCTTCCTGAATGCCCATAACTTCCCATAGGAACTGCGTAACTGCCTCCTTCTCAGATGTGTTAAGATAAGTAGCTATAAATTCTAAATCAGGGACCCAAGAGCTACATGGGAAGGAAGAGGAGACGAGGCTCTGGCCCTCTTGGCAGAGAGGCCACCCCATGTGCTGGCATTGTCCTGCTCTAGAGGCTCCAACCTCGCTCGGACACTTGCTCTTCCAGGGCCGTGGTGAAGGGTTCTGATTTTCCCACAGCTCTAACACCACTGAGAGTTGATGTTCTTAGAGAATCAGTTCTTCTCACGTTTCTGCTGAGTTCCTTCCTCTTTCTCATGGGACATCAACTCCAGGGAGCTTTTCGTGTCTCTCCCTCTCACACTCATGTAGCAAATTCTGTGACTTGTGTGACAGCTGGATTGTGAAGATGCCCATGACACAAGAGAAAAATTAAAACCTTCCAAGTGTGATCCTTTATGGTATTTCTGATTTCAAACAGGACCAAGGGAGGAAACACAGAGCAC